TTTAAAGAAGAAATTGAACATTTGAAATTGCACTGACATTCTGTGATGTTATGAATAAATCCTATTCAAATAAATTTTAAGTTTAAATAGTTTAACTTTTATAGTTATTAGTGAGATATTTATATATTTTCTTAACATATCTTAGCATATTTGTGGTATAAAAACTGATGATAATGCTGTTTTGTGGGCGAGGGGGATTTCAGAGAAGTTTGTTACAACTTCCACATTTTTTTTCTTTTGGTTTTAAGTACTTTAAAATCCATGAAATTCCCATTGATTTTATTAGGAACTTTAGAAAACCACGTCTTTGAAAAACCACTTTTTCAAATGATTGATTGTAAATAAATGAATTACTGGTAATAAGTGTACTGTAAGTACTAGTGGTAATAAAGTAGTGGAGTAATACATTCAAGATTTTCTAAAAGATTTCTTGCTTCCCCAAAAGATTTATTTACATCTAATTGCACATAATTTGTTTATAAGGAATAATAATTTATTTCTTAGAAAGTTATGAGATTTAGAAAGAATTATAAAAATGCTTCTTCATAGTAAATCAAATTTGCATTTTCAGGAAACCCTTCTATTCTATTGTAACTTACTATTTCTAAGTGATTCATATGTATTTCACAATTCTAAGCTTACTTCACATGGGTCTTTGGAAGTTGATAAGGGAGTATGATATGCCTAAAATTAATTGTAGACTATTTATTTAGCTATTTTGTGAATTATCCAGGCCTTTTACTTCTCTTGCAGAAAATTAAAAAAGAACCAAAGGCAATAGAAATTGAAGCCAAAATTACTATCCTTTTGTTGCTACTACTTGTTATTCAAGTTAAATCTATTTAATAAATAAGTCTATTTAGTAATTGAAATGATGTTTTGAATCTGTTAATTTTTACTTTAAAATTGCTTAATGGCTATATTAGAACTAGTTTCACCAATGAGAAAAATATAATTAGCAAGGTGTTTAAATGAAGAAATATGTGAAAAAAAGTTAAAGTGAGCTCTGTGATGGGGGAGATGGGGGGGAGTCGTCCTCTTCTAGACCAGGTTAGTGATGTGATGTGATGTCATTCTCATAAAAAACTTGTTTTGCTTGCGTGGTGTGAGTTGGTGGTTTTGGCCTTTTTAATTAAGGATAATAATTCATGATAAAATTAGATTTCATGTTGGTCATCTTATGCAGAAGGAGTAAGAATTCAATGGTTAAGAATAACTAACCTGTCCTCTCACCCCTAGGGTGTGAGCACTGAAAAGGATTAGGGCCCACTGTAGGGAAGCTTGCACTGAAGCCTGCACTGCCCTTTCCTCTGTTCTTTCAGTTAAATAGAAGATTTTTAGTTCCCATGACTATCAATCTGGTGCTTTTCAGAAGCACCAAATTCTTTTTAAGAAATTAAGATGACTTATTTTTAGAAATCCACTGGCGTAGGATACCAAAAGATGATTTTTTTGTATGTCATGTTGACAGATCCTATACATACTATTTTTTGCTAATGAATATTAGTTTGCTTTAGTTTATGTTGAATTTAATGGTCGATATAAATTTATAAAAATCAAGGACAGATTTTTATATGCTTAGGTTTGCTTACCCAATAGTAATTATAGAGTTTGGTAGTGTCGAATCTTACATTTCATTAGAAATAGTATCTGACTACCCTGTGGACATAAACTCTTACCTTTTATTTCTAGTATACTGCAATTATAAGGTGCTTTTTTTTCATGTTTAAAGGCTTTTAAATAGCTTTTATAAATGTTGAAATGCTGTATTTTTTAGTATCTGCCAAATTGGTATTGTATTTAATCTTGAAAATATATTTTGATTTTGTTAACTAAAAATAATTGCAGAATATTAAACATTCTCAGTAGTTAGCTTCCCCCCCCCCC